AGGGAAAAAAATGTCAGGAAACATTTTAATATAGCAGTACATCTGTATCTGTGTATTAATACATGTTTCTGCATGTAATTCCTCCCTCACCAGGTGTTGCAGTCCTGAGAGATAGAGGATCCTGGAGGGAAATGTCGTCCCATGTGCACACAGGAGCACTGAGATACCTCCACACAGCGGTTACCGTCCAAAACCTTGCCCACTGAGACACAAACGCACACCATGTGTGTTAGTAACAGAGTGACAGAAAGTAAAACAAGGGAGATGCAGTGAGTGAGAGGTTACCAGGACAGGTGCAGCCATCCGCACACTCTTCCTTGCAGACTTCCTGGATGTTGAGACTGTGGCAGGTTGTGGAGCAGGACTTGGTGCATTCACTGTACTGCATCCCAATTGGACACTTGGGGACTGAACACATAAATTATGGTTATAAATGTGACTTTATAACTTGTGACTGCCTATGTAATGACTGACAAACTTACAGCACTGGCTCTCCTCCAGCCAGCCACGCAGAAGTATCCCGTGGGCGTGGCACGTTCGAGCGTATTCCAACAGGATTGGACAGTAACAGTCCTCTGCCTCCCTCTGGTCACAGTGACACACCTCCCCCTGACACAGAATAAGGAAGGCCTCGGGAGAGACCAGGTGGGCACAGTGCAGAAACACAGTGGACGTCTGCAACACACTGCAGCTGGACAAAATCTACATAAACACACATGCATGCAAAATTAATTACAAGGAAGCAATGTGGTCAAACCATTTCAACATATCAGATGAAATAAAAAAAAGTTTTGTGTATAGTAGCTGATAGTGATGTTCATTTTTGTTTGCTTTTAAGACCCTAGTTGTTTATGACTGAAAACAGAAGTACTCTTCAGTTATCATGCATGGGCTGTCATGTCTTGCCAGCTTATGTAAATAAGGGATAAAGGATTTTAAAAATGACATTTGTTAGGTAAACATGAAGATGGGCTTCTAGTGTCATCATGATGGAAACAGAATGTTGATGATTTGTAAACCATAAAATAAGTTAGGCAAACAGAGAGTAAGTTTAAATTATAAAACAAATACTCAATCAATGAATATATCTTAAGCTTAAACCAATATTTAATATTCTGACTTTGGGAGCTACTACATGAATCCCAGTTACACTGGAGCACCATTTTGTTTAGAGACGCAGGATCAGTTTGCGGTTAGTGAAGGAGAAGCTGATGACACCCGATGGTTTCACACTGTCATGTAGCCTTTACTGGTTTCATCAAACGTGGGTGTTCATGTGGACAAAATGTTCTTGCTAAATATGGCTGATTTTCAGTGATCAGCCCACACACAACGTCTACAGTAAACATGTTACAGAACCGCACTCACACCTGTCAGATCTGTTACTCGCCAGCTGTTCCTTTTTAACAAAACTCGTACCTATTGTACCTGAAAGCCCATTTGCACCAGGGGAAAAATTATGAAATGTAAAAATAAGGTTTCTGAATCGATATTGGGCAACACAAGCTAACGGTTTGACTGGCATAGTTACAATTATAAGGCTTTTGCAAGACACAATTATGATATTCCTGGGAGATTTCATTAAATTAGACAGATACAAAAAGGGAGATAACTGGAAATAAGGGAAAAGCTAGATTTGTAATGATATGCAACATAGAGAGTTGGCACCTTCATCTCTAGGCCATCAAGGCACCCCAAGATAATTTAACAGTATGTTTTCCATTTCATTTTAGAGTTTGTAAGGCAAAATCCAGATTTCTAAGTAAAATGATCAGATATTTAGAAACTGTTCAACAATTCTTCCCTATTACAATATTTTTTTACACAGTACTGTACCAAGTCGAACTAGAACTTACAATGTCAACATGTGTGTAGATGTGTGTATATGTATCTGTGTATAAATTGTTCTCTCACCGTTGAACTCTTTTTGGTGCTGTTACAAGACTGGCTGGGTTTTGAGACACGTCGACATGACTGATCGGCCCCCTTCACTGCCCACGAATTAGCAAAATCATAACTGTCATCTGTTAGGAATCCTGAAAACACACACAAACACACACATATAAACAAGTTGAAAGATTTCTCCTTAATCTCATCCTCCCACTACTGTTCCTCTTGCTTTCTTTGACCTTGTTATCTTTTCCTGTACTGAGCTGCTACTCTTCCTGTTGCTGAGTGCTGGTGACTCAAATCCTTTCCTTGATTCCAATAATAAGGAACTTGCCCTTGCTTTGCTCTCAAACATCCGAATATCCCAGATACAAAGTTACAGATTGTTGATTTTACCCCTTTGTCCTGAATGATCTTACCCTCTTGCGCAGTATACTCATCAGCTGATGCAGAGTTGAAGTTGCCACAGAGGCCACAGGTGCGGTTTGCATGGTGTTTGGTCAGTGTCAAGGCGATGTTGGCTCCATTATCAATGGTAACAGTGAAGCCAAACTCCTCACTCCAGAGCTTATAGAAGCCGAGCTCAGAGCCCACAAACACAGCGTGAGATGCGTAGGGCACAGATAGTCTGCAAAAAAGGAGACACACTATGGGGTGATTTTATTTTTTCGACTAAGACAATTTGATTACTCACATAATTATATTATTTTTACACGACTACTTAAATATTCTCTATCTCAACCTTTTTTCTCCTTGTGAGAGCCGTCCGTCTACAGACAGGTGCAGCTCGAAGGCATCCCCCAGAAACAGAGTGACTCCAGTTCTTTTGCCATTGGCAAAATCACCTATGGGTTGAAAATACATTTAATTTATTATGAAACCTTCAACCGACAATAACAGTTTGAAATAACATAATGATAACAACGATGATCTCTGGGTCATCAGTAAATTAAAAGGGAGAGAAAATGAGTAAGCTTTTTAAATGTCCGTGCAAGTACTTAGACTATTGAGGCATACATATCCCAGTGAGAATCAAACCCATGGCTGTGACTATGCACAAGCCACTGATCTGCACTGGATGAGCATCAGATGCCTGTAGAATTTAAATCTATTTATTTTTTATTGAACTGTCTGAGTGTGACTCACCCAGCAGTGTGAAGGAGCGATGGCTGCAGTCTCCAGCCAGCAGATAGCTGCAATCTCCAGGAAACTCATATAAAACCCCATCAAACGTGTGCACGTAGTCCCGTCCGAAGAGACTGCATCTCCCTGTCAAAGCTGCCACGCAAGCTGAACACATGCAAAAGACACAATATGCAACTGTCAGTGAGAGTACAAAAAGAGGAGATCTTATATGAAACATTTCACATATTATTGGTCTATAAGAGAGTTTGACTTTTAAGTGCAAACAACAAAAATAAATTAATAACCTTCAGATACTCACATGTCAGATGCAGTAGAACCCAGATTTCTCGCAAATACCGCCTCATACACACCTGAAACACATGTAGATATGCTCTCCATTATCATGAGCATCACATATTTCAGAATCATGTCCTGTTATAATATCACATTACTCTGAGTTGTCTGCCGGCTGTTTTAATAACAGTAATAATCTTCAATTCTCTAAACTGCAGCAAGTCCTACCTCCATGTCTCCAGTTAATCCACAGAGTTGCAAAGAAAAGGCAAATGCAATCCAAAATGTTGACCTCACACAGTCATGTCATAATGATCGGTGTGTGATGGTCGTTGTCCAACATTCAGAACTTGGTAAAATGCTCAACCTGCCTGGAATCTATTTTATAGGAAAGAGCATACCACCCCGCCCAGCCGCCAAAGCTGGCCTTTAAGACCCCCGCCCTCGCCAGGTTTATAAAAAAGGGCCGACTATGACTCAGTCCAAATCTCAGTGCCTGCAGACTGACACCATCAAACACACTCAGCAGGACAATACCAGGATATGCCCACTGATCGCCTGGCTGAGTGATTAGTCTACACATACGTATCTGTATCGACGCCAACCCAAACAATCCTTTTGGAAAACACACTTACTGGAGATATCTCACGCAATGACACTGTTGTGGTGGTAGACGTGCACAAACACAACACTGAACTCTGCCAAAATCTCTCTCTCAGACACACACACACACACACACACACACACACACACACACACACACACACACACACACACACACACACACACACACACACACCCTGGGAAAGTGTATGGGTCAATGCTCTCGGGTGCAAACTTTACGTACGTATAAAAAAATGTTTTTTCCTTTCTTTTTAAGTAAATCATGTATGCATGGATAACACCATTAGTTTAAATTCCTAAACCCCACATTGATAGGTAAATTAGGGGATGGTTCAAAATTCTGATGCAGACCACAAAACACACATGCATACAATATAATTACCAAAATGAATGATATTGACAAACTGGTGTTTTGAACTGAAGGATAATTCTGGTCACTTTCTGTTTGTTTGAGTGCGGGTGCGTGAGGAATTTGTCTGGGGGAGATGCACAGCTCGTGCACCGTGTTCATTCATGTACAGTATATTCAATCCCTGAACGCGCTTTTTCTTTTCTGGGAAAATTACGTCATCCCACAGCTCATGGTGCTGCAGGAACTTGTGGTCAAAAAGCCCACCTTAGGCTGCTGTGCAGGGCTCTGATGTACCATTGTATGAAGCAAAGACGCACGCTGAGTGCAGACTTTAAGGTTTTCTATCAGAGCTACATGCTAACAATTAAAAATGGTGATGTTCTCTGTAATCCTATTTGGACAACTAGAGATAGTCTCACTCGTGCACTAAATCCCCACTTAGTCTCGCAAACTGCTATTTCAAGCCCCTCTAAAAGAATATGATAACTTTAGAAAACATTTCCACAAATGCCAACACCATTACATGATTGATAACTCACACAAAAAACCCTCCAATAATTATCAGCCCTTTAATTTAATGTAGATGTCTTTGAATTTTTTTATTAGAAATGTAACATGTAAAAGCATAAAGTTAAAATGTTGTGATAAATAAAAAAAGTCTCCAGGGGGCTGTGCAGACCGTTGTGTGGGGGCGGACCACTACAAGCGCGCACAGCACGGTGCGCGTACCAGCGCGACGCGTCGGCAAATAACCTCAATCTGCATACTGACTGTTATTTCGAAGGTCTTCTTTTCTACTGAGTGTTTTAATTGGTGCTACCAGCAGAAGTGAGATAGATCAAGCACCGCCATGGCTGCACTGTCGGGGGGAGAGATGTGCGTCAAATATCTGATGTTCGCCTTCAACCTCGTATTCTGGGTGAGTTTGAAGCGATAAATTGTATTCTTCTTAAAGAATAAATTATACACCCTGTCTGTGTGACAGAGAGAGAGCTTTGCGTGCATGCGCGTTCGTGTGTGAGCCGGTTACTATCTTGAATGAAATAAGACGACGTCCCAGATGCAGGATCGTACCGAGTGCTCACAGTCTCGGTTTCTTATCACAGTATATCCTCGAGGTGCCCCTGCATTATTTTGGGTACTGACAACAACTAAATACAAAGCGTCCCAATATGCGTGGAGACCGAAAGGGCTGGACGAATAATCCCCGGTGGCCAAGTGACCCAGTTCCACCGTGCAGACTACTCTTTGGAGTTTGCGCGCACAGCATTTTAATAAATGCAATGGGGGGAGGGGGGCGCTTTCTTGTGGTGGAGAATGTCCCTGATATTATAATAATGAACGCTTCTTCTTCCTCACGTTATGTGAACAGTTGCGCATGTCATGGAGTGAGAGTGTGAATGAATCCTAGATATCCCATGGAGGCTATTTGTGTCCAGCTAAGCCTGCAGGGTGTGTCTTCTGTCAGTTTGTTTGTGATGTGTTTGTGGTTTCACATGAATGCTTTGCCCATTTATGAACGTTTATTATGTGTGCAGTGCAGCTATAGATAGAGCCTAGAATAACCATCCATTACAGGGCAGGGATTTCCCAAAGTGTGTGTGTGCTTATGTGTGAGATGCAAATGATCCCAGGCAACACAACCAATTATGGGTATTACAAATATACAAAAAATCCACTATAAGTTGTAAAAATCACCAGTGTCTGTAAATACTAGCAGTAAGAAGCCAGGATGGTGACCATGAATTGAAAATGCATGTCCTTGATTGAATTTCAATTCATAGAAAAATCCTGCTCAAACATCCCAACCCAATGAAAGTGCAGACACTTCCCATTTGTGTTGGACTGAGCAGGAAGTGAATATATGATACACTGGTCATTATGCAGCCACAGATCACATGACCCAGATATCTGATCACAGATCATCTGGACACAACAAGAGTGTCTATGTGCATCGTTGTGTCAGTGCATCAAGTTTGGTTAACAGACCTTGGTTTCAATAAAACAGCTTCTGTGAGACATAGGTAGTAGTCAAATTTTAGAGCAGTCTAGTAACTGTGCGCACAGTTCAGATAACAGAGCAGGTAATATGCTGCTGGGCAGGTATTTAAAAATGTTTTTGGCTAACATGCCTAGACAGAGCCCTATGTCCTACTTCCTGCTATATCAAAATGTATGTATCAGCATAACTTTTAGAAATGCAGAAGTTAAAAACATAAGCTGTGTGTGTATAAACATGGGACAAAAGAGAGGAAGGAACACAGGCAGGAGTTCATTTCAGATTAAACAATGGAGGTCAGATTTTTGAGTAACACGGCTCTCTTGCCACTCCCTAACTGTAGAAGTCATGTGATTTTATGAAGGCGTGGTAGTGAAAACAATCTCTCCTTTCACCACGTTTTTTTTTAACTGACACCATTATGTTTTACTGCCACATGGGAAGCAGATAGTTAAAAATCACTCAGAGCTGTGAACTGTGTTGACTGGATCAGCATGGCTGTCGCTGGGGGAATCAAGTGTGTGAAATATCTCATGTTTGTCTTCAACTCTTTCTTCTGGGTAGGTGTGCTTTACTTTTAATCATGTGGTGTTGGATTGATTGTGTGTGAGAACGAGAGAGGAAGGAAGAGGTGGAAAAGACTACTGGACTAGTAGTACACATTTGTTCTTTGCTCTAACCTGCTCTTTTGTTTACACAATGGCATATAAGACATCCTAGAATAAAGAGTAGGTAAAAATCATCAACAGAATGGCCAAATATACACAAACACACTTGGAATGAAACAGATTGCCATCTTTCGGTTTGACTTTTAAAGTTAAATATTCACAGACCTGTGTATGCTGCCAAGCCCTGTAAGTGAGTCAATGTGTAGCACATCACACAATCTCTGGTACCATGAACGGACAATACAAACACAAAGGGTCCTTGTTTTTACACAGTTAGATGAGCAAATTACAGCCTTTCCTGCCTCCATCAATGTGTTTTAATACATCAATGTGTTCTACACTATAATATCAAAGTCTCATTGGTGAGGAGTTACAAATGTCTGTCCCCAGACCTATACTTTTTAAGAGTTGAAAAAAGGCCTTTTCAATAGATTTGTTGGAAATGTTGTGGGTGAGGAGTTAGATATGACAGAAAGGACTGTGAAGACCTCTTCCTCGACTGATAACTGAGAAAAACATGTAACAATTAGACCACAAGAATGCTTAGTTAGTACATGTTTTAAATGATAACTGGAAGCAGAAACATTTTAAAATTCAGACAGCACTAAGTAAACTGGTGTGGTAAAATCAAAATGAAATACACAAGATGTCAAATGGCATATTGCATAAATATGGAGAGTGCTTACGAATGACAAGAACTTCAGCTTAGTTTCTCGCTAATATCATTTATATGTACTATCAGGTTGACTGTTTACATTGTGCATTTAGTGGTATGATAACTAACTGCAGAACTGTTTGTGAAAATAAACATGATGTTGTGTTTCAGCTTGCAGGCACTGCTGTCTTCACTATAGGCCTGTGGCTGAGATTAGACCCACAGACCAAAGGCCTGTTTGAAGAAACAGACTCTCCAAATGTGTTTTACACGGGTAAGATTCCCTCTGTCCTTGAGATGGAACATTATCCCTTATCATTTAAGCAAAGTTACATTTTGGATTATGTGAGCGCTGCAAAATATGCTTGTATATGTCTGTGATTCTCTGTATGTGTGTGTAGGTGTATATATCCTGATAGCAGCTGGAGCTCTAATGATGGTAGTGGGTTTTCTGGGCTGCTGTGGGGCCATCCAGGAGTCCCCATGTATGCTGGGAATGGTTTGTACCATCTTTTGTGTTCTGCACTTAACTAACATTAAACGTAAACTATTTAAAACAGTTTCTTATACTATATCCGGGTCTATATGTATTTGTCACAATCTTACTCAGCAGCATATGGCCTTGTTACTGAACTTAAGCAAGTGTGGATTGTAGACCTACATTGGACTCTCCAATAAATATAAGCTACATTCATCTTTGTTTACTGAACAGTATCAAGGCCAGAGAAGAGTCTCTAGATTTCGCAGCACTTGTCTCTCCCCCTCCCTCCCTGTCTGTCTGGCCCTAATCTTCTTGTACTAAATCTCCCAGAGGGAGGAGCCTAAAAATTAGGTTCAGCTACACTCAAGTGACCTTGTAACTTTTTCACACATGCATTCAAAAGACATGCGCACACGCCTGCACACATTCAAGCAATCAAAAGAGTTTCATTTTGTCTATCTCTTTGCAGTTCTTCTTCTTCCTGCTTATCATATTTGCCATTGAAGTTGCGGCTGGTATCTGGGTATTTTCCAACCAAAGCAAGGTAATGTACAAGTGTATGTAACAATGATTCATTTACTTGGATAGAACTTTTCTACAAAGCTACAAACATGAATGGTACCACAATGAATGTGAGTTATGTGTATAAAGTATTATTTTACCGTCTTGCTGCTGTTTTTCAGGTGGTAAACGACATCACATCATCCTACATGCAGACCTACAAGAAGTTCAAGATGCCAAATTCAGATAAGAGACTCAGAGACACTCTGCGGATGATTCAAACTGGGGTGAGCCATGTCTTTTAGTTTCAGCTTCACACTAATTCAGGTAGACTTAGATCTTATCTTAAAATAACTTGACACGCAATATTTCCTTAAAGCAATGTATTCCCATGGGAAAGTTGTCGGTGCCGCCTAATATCAAAAATGTTTAAGATGATTAGAAGTTGGAAATTCAGCAAAATACCACATTTTAGGAAAATAAGCACCTGTACTTTATTTTTTAGTGAGCCAGGAGGCAATTATCCTACAGCATATCATCTAGGGGGAAACAGCTGGTCTAAACACACACTTACATAACTTCTTAACAGCATGAACATGTTGGGTTCCTTTCATCTCTGCACCAATAGTTATGTAAGAAAAATTATAGGTTATTTTGGAGATCGGTTATTTTGGACAGTGCCTCCACCAGTTGACTAGCAACCTCATTGTGATAACAACATAACAATTGTAACAAGAATGTTCCTTTAAAATACTTTAAGTTATAGATGTCTATTCCCTCTTCCATCTTGTGTTCTAAAGGCATTACTTTTTTCCACAGCTGAACTGTTGCGGGCCAACTGGTACGGTAGAAGAGGCTGACAAAGACACCTGTCCCCAGGGAGAGCTACTTGAGAAGCTCATTACTAAGGTACAACTACTCTGAATGATTGTATAGATTGGATGCCAACATAGATAGGTACTTCAGTCAAGAGCTAGAGAAAGAACATCATATTTCAATAGCAAAGAAGATCCATAAGTTCTAAAAGCTGTTAGGAAGCAATTACGTTACTGTATGTCAAATAATTGTCAAACGTGTGCCATAGGTTATCATTTCCTTTGCACACTAATTTCCTCAGCCTCTTTGCAGTGTAACTATGGCAACACTGGTTTACAAGAGCCCGTATGCTCTCAGGCTGTCTGTTAAGTGTGCAATACCACACGTCATGTTGTTCAGCATAGGCTTAGAGGAAGCTGAAAGGAATTATGCTGGTGTGTTGCAGAGCTGCCCTGATGCCATTGACGAGGTGTTTGACTCCAAGCTACACATCATTGGAGGAGCCGGCATCACCATTGGGGTTGTTATGGTAAGCGTGGGATTTACTGTAACTCATCAAGTTTAAGTGTCAGCTGCCCTGGAGGATGAGCGCAGGGCAGAGGTGAGTAAAGAACAAACACAAGTAATGTATGTCTCTCTTTCTTTTGCAGGTGTTTGGGATGATCTTTAGCATGCTCCTGTGCTGCGCCATCAGGAAGTCTCGGGAGGTGGTGTGAGTCCCACCATCACATCCTGTAGTCCTTTATTAACGTTGCATGATGCTATTCCTAGAGTCACATGACTCTCCACTGCCATAAACACTGCTTGTTCAAGTGGGACAATCTAAGATAGGCTGTGTGCGGATATCTCTGATTAGTACATAATACATCAGCTATAACTGTGCTACTGACACTTAGGCCAACCCTTTCTGGAATATATAGATGCAATGTGGTTATAAGGCCCAACTATAGAATGGGTGTCATCTGTGCTTCAGTGGCAATGTATTGACGACATAATTGTGTGGTCATTTGACTGTAATTAGTGTTTGTGAACTGCTAATTATCTAAACAAAAGATCATATTATTGTATATGGATCACATTTCTATTGCCATCACTTGACAGCCAGAAGAATCATGGATCAGGGCCTCAGAAAAGGCCACTACCATCACTACAGCAATAGCCAATGAAATTCTACAGTCCTTTTTTTTACAACACAGATATAAAACTATGGTGACTATAGCCGATTCAATGCTAAGCTGGGAACTGCGGTCAGTGTGGTTCACCTAGCTCGGTATTAGAGTAGCATCTCGGTTTCTACATTGTGACATTTTATGTGTACCCTTCCTATTGTCTCCATCCCTAACATGCCCTTTCTAAAAACGCCTTTTCATTTTTTGTCAAGTTTGTAAATGTCTTTTTTTATTTGTAAAAGATTTATACACATAGATGGTTGTATGGTACATGTGTTTTAAATTTGATGATGTATTTTATAATGTTCTTTCCATGTTACATAGACTGGACTTGATTTATACCATATGCACTATGTTTCACAGAGGCAAAATTAATGAGAGCCGAATAAAAGAAATTGTACTGACTCTGAAGGTGTTTTGCAATGGCATGCAGTTACTCACACAGCGAACGTCTTGTTGCTGTAGTTTTTCTTTAAGCCATTTCTGAGAAGGTCACTGAGTTAAATACATTAACTACAAGAGCAAATTCTTCACTATTAAAATAAGATACTATCAAACTGACTTTCCTTGGCATGTTGGATATAGTGGTGCAGGATATAGGGGAATGCACTGGCTTAGATGGGTGGACGTGCCTTGATAAGACTCAAAACAACATCCAGGGCCTAATCTGTGTGCGCAATGGAAAAATACATTCTTAATACTCCTCCCAGCTTTCCTTTCTTTGATATTCATGGCCATCAAGTGTGACTCATGTAGTTTGATCCAAGCCAAGAAGTGTTTTTGTTTTCCTAGTCATGCCATCACAATCAATCCAAATATGTGTTTCAAAACAAGGCGTATAGACAGATTACAGTAAACAGTGCACAATTATGTATGGTAGTGAGTCATGTTATTTCTAATGACTCACTTTTTCATCCAAAAAGAGGTGAGAAAAGTTAGTTTTCCTCTGATTATAGCACAAGGAAGTACCCTTTGATTTGGTTGTTGACAGCCAGGTGTTGCCCTCTCAGACACCCCACCCCCACTATGGAGATAACGCTGATTATAAAAAGAACTATGTTCATATGTGAGACATGGCTCCATGTTGTTCTGTGTTTATGCCTCTTATGTAACATTATGTGTACTGGCCAAAGGAAGAGGGCAGGACAAACGAGATAAGGAAGAGAAAAATAGGAACCACGATGAAAACTCAAGAGAAAATACGCCAAAATCAACATTAACTCTACCACACTTCTACACATACACACAGTAGATAAAGACTAAATTATATGATAACAATTGCCCATTCTGCCCAAGTTGTTTGATGTTTTATTTGGTGTTGGTAAACCTAGACTTGATTGGACTGATTGGTGAAGAACCACTGCAACATTTTAATAGCCAAAAACTGAACAATACAACAGTGCTGCCATTACATTTAATTTATTATTACAGTGGAAGTATAAAGTTGCATTTCCAATACATGTGTTACTAATATTGCTAGAGCAATCTGCAAATTATCTCCTTCCACCTTTTGAATGATACAAAAATATATTAATTATTTTACCTTTTGGATAAAAAACAATCTCAGTCTTCAGTCTCGTCGTCTGTGCCCTCCCAGGAAGTGTTAGCAAGTCTGCGTGACTGAGTGTGTAAGGCAGTGTGTGTGTGCAGCACGGTGTCTACATGGAGAATACTTGAGAGACACTGCAGAACAGCCAGAAGTAGCTGGTATTTACAAGACACAGATTCAAGGCCGGAGTCTGACATGAACAGTTTTGCTGACACGTCAGCCTCAGTAAAACGATGCTTTGTTAGTTTATCCTCCTCTAGAGGAAATGCACTTTCCCCAAAGATTGAGCTGTGCTCCTGTTTGTAGACAAGGCTAAAGGGGTGGGAATGGTTTTGAATAATAGTCTGGAACCTTGCTTGAGCCTGCAGGAAATGTCTTGGACTGTGGGAATAAATCTGTCTGGGCACGATCAGTAGAGCATTTGCCAAGAGCTGGGAAACAGCAAGGCCACTCGTAACTATGTCATCAGAGGCTGAGCAACTGGTGCCATTTTGTAGGAGGGCATGGTGTAAGAGAAACTCGAATGTCCCTCCAGCAGGTATGACATAACCTGGCTGCAACCCAGACTGCTGGAAGGGAGGTACATTGGGGATCTGATCCACATGTGAAGAAGTGCTTTTGGTTGACTGCAAGGTTCTCTTTGAGGCTGTGGTTGCAGTCATACCCATGGGCTCCCATGTTGAAAGGAGCATGCGGATGGCGTCTCGAAATGCACATGTATACTGCTCAGTTTGTCCTTCCCCTAGGCCACAAATGACCAGACTACATGGTTTGACCGTGACCCTTTCCTCTGAATCATTGAAAGCCACATGGACATACCTGTGGGAGAAAAAGTCAAATTTGAACATTCATGAATCAAAGAAGATTGAGAAAATCAAAACAATATACATGTATGTTAAATCAATTATTATCTATGATAAGGAATTGTATGCATTTTTTTGACTTTTAAATATACATGTTATATGAGTGGCAAAGAGACATGTTTATACCTATGGGCTCCCAGCAGAATTGGTCTACAAAAGGTTAGTGTAGCGACGTGCTCTGGTTCAACCATCCAGCAGTCTGAGACAGGTTTGGCCCCACTTAGCTGGGCAAAGAGAGACAGCTCATCTTCACTGACACACTCCACAACGCACATCTCTGCCTGTGCAGCTAAAGACAGGACAGCAGCCGACTGTTTCACTGCAGAAAGGATCACAGAGACACCCAAACTCTGCAGGTTTGCAAAGACACACTTCAGGGACCTTTCTGTCCAGGCGCTAAACTGCACTATACTTCTGTTGTTCTTTGAATTCTCCTCCATCCATTGCTCTCCACATCCCAGCTGCAGCACTTGTCCTGCATTGAGCAATTTTGGCTGTAGGTAACCAGAGAAAACTGCAGCTTTAACTGCCTTTTGTTCAGTCTGAGGGCACGGTGTAGCAAAGTCTCTGTGAATGACTTGCCCCTCAATCAAACGTGAACAACTGATAGGGAAGCCTGACACAGGTGTGTGCAATGCATCCAAGTTGTCATTTACAAACTCAAGTGATAAGGAAGGTTGGTCCCTTTTAAACTTCCAGTGAGTCAACAGTTCATAGGTTAGTTTGCTTATAAAGTCACAGTGGGAACGACCCAGACGTGAATGAAAGAATGATGTCAGCAGTTTTTGAACACAGTCATTGTTTGAGGGTCCTGATAAATGTTTTTTTGCAGTGAAATCCTCCCATGACAGACAGCATCCATATGGAATCACTCCCATGCCTATGAGATCATCTAGCTCCTCCAATGCAAATGCCAGAATTTTGTCAGCCAAGTGCCTGGCAGTTGAAGCCTCTGCCGTTTGCCTGGAGGTGTAGGTGTGGGACACATTAGGCTCCTTGCAGGCCATTTTATGAATCATCCGTAGTAATGAAGCTAGCAGTAGGATAAACGTCTTGGATCCATCGCCTGTTACAGTGCTGTGTTTCAAGACGCACTCCACCACCATCCTAAAACCAAAAACACACAAATATATAAAAAATATAAAATGTCACTTGTCAAAGACTATCATAGTGACAGAGTGTGTGTGTTACCTACCTGGCCAGTGGATGCTCAAGTCGTAGCGCAGTGAGAATGCGAGCCCCACTGCGACTCAACATCGCCTGTCCCGTGTCTCTGGTGAACAGAACCTGTCCTCCTTCAGGGCCAAAACTGCGGAGGACAACTGACTCCAACGCACACACAGTCTGCACAACATGATCCAGATGAAGACGCTCCACTGGCGGCATCCCTGCAACCTGAAAGAAACATAAATATCAATTGCAAGAGAAAATACACAATTTACAATTTTTTCCAAATATGCTTTTGGTATTCCATAAAAAGCAACAAGACATTTAAATACTACTGCCTCAAAACTTTACAGATGGGCTTAAAATTCCAACAATATAATGTATGCAGCACAGTTTTAGTTTACAAACATTTGACACAGGATGGATTTCAATTTAGGGCTACAGTCTTACATCTCACGTTTGGATTAATAATGTGAAAAAGAATCAACACTTAAATAAGACTTTAGTTACACCTGGAGTAAATTCAAAGTAAACTACAAAGTAATACAAATTAGCTACCCCTTTACCACATAAACACATCAATACAGCAATAATTATAATCAAAACATATGACAAATATTATTCTGGGATGGGCCAATTTGCATAAATATTACTTTTACTTTCGGTAAATAAGGTATAATTACGAATCAAACCTTTTACTTTTACTTGAGTAACATTTTGATTGCAGGACTTTTAACTCTAACAGAGTATTCCTACACTGTGGTGCTTCTACTTTTACTTCTTCCACCTCTACTACTCAGCGTCAGTCAATGTTCACTTTGAAAAAATCAGTGTAAAGTTAGTTTACTTGGTTAGCGTTATAAACTCGTGTAACTATTTTCTGATCACTGCTAACAGCTAGAAGCTGCGTAGATAACATTAGCATCTGCTAGCTAGCTGAATGAAATGAGATGAACCCTTCCGCACAGGGGCTTATTTTATTACAAACCCTAGATATAACATAAACGCACTAGTTTCTAGCTGGAAACGGAAAATACTGGAAACTGTAGATCCCGCTCAACAGGATGTATTTACCAGGGAGCGGAACGGAGTGATACGAAGCGAGACGAAAAGAGACGAAGAGGGACGGCGGGAACCAAACAGAGACGGCGGGAAATGGAGAGAGACGAAGATATACGAAGACAGGCGGCGGGAGACGGCGGGAGACTGCGATTGAAGTAAAGTGACAGACAAACATTGAGAATTTAGAAAGATTTAGAGTTTTAAAGATTCAACTACACTGAACAAAAATATAAATGCAACACTTTTGTTTTTGCTCCCATTTTTCATGAGATGAACTCAAAGATCTAAAACATTTTCCATTTACACAAAATAACCATTTCTCTCAAATATTGTTCACAAATCTGAAAAAATCTGTGATAGTGAGCACTTCTCCTTTGCCGAGATAATCCATCCCACCTCACAGGTGTGGCATATCAAGATGCTAATTAGACAGCATGATTATTGCACAGGTGTACCTTAGGCTGGCCACAATAAAAGGCCACTCTGAAACGTGCATTTTTCTTTATTGGTGGGTCTGGGGGGGTCCGAAAACCCTAGGGTTAAATCCTAACCCTAACCCTAATATGTCACCCATTGAGCATGTTTGGGATGCTCTGGATCGGCGTATACGACAGCGTGTTCCAGTTCCTGCCAATATCCAGCAACTTCGCACAGCCATTGAAGAGGAGTGGACCAACATTCCACAGGCCACAATCAACAACCTGATCAACTCTATGCGAAGGAGATGTTTTGCACTGCGTGAGGCAAATGGTGGTCACACTAGATACTGACTGGTTTTCTGACCCCCCCAGACCCTGAGGCTGTGCGAAGTTGCTGGATATTGGCAGGTGGAACACGCTGTCGTATGCGCCGATCCAGAGCATCCCAAACATGCTCAATGGGTGACATGTTAGGGTTTAACCCTATGGTTTTCGGACCCCCCCAGACCCCCCCAATAAAGCAAAACTGCACGTTTCATAGTGGCCTTTTATTGTGGCCAGCCTAAGGCACACCTCTGAAATAATCATGCTGTCTAATCAGCATCTTGATATGCCACACCTGTGAGGTGGGATGGATTATCTCGGCAAAGGAGAAGTGCTCACGATCACATATTTCTTCAGATTTGTGAACAATATTTGACAGAAATGGTTATTTTTTGTACCGATATATAGAAAATGTTTTATATCTTTGAGTTCATCCCATGAAAAATGGGAGCACAAACAAAATTGTTGCATTTATATTTTTCGTTCAGTGTAGTTTGTTGTTCAAATGAACCATTTCTTTATGGAAATCATAAGTCTCTTTCATAATCTGATAATATTGCTTTACATGGTCCATAGGAATGGTGCTAGGTGTAGAAAAAAAAAAAACACGTATGCGTTTCCTACAATGTCTTTTAAAAAGCTTTATGTCCACCATTAACACTCTTTGTCTCTAAGAAAGCACATAAATGAAGATCTGTTTGATTTCAAGAAATTCCTGAATGTTTGCAGAGAAGCTTTATATTCTTCAGATATAACATCACCAGACGTCAAGTGTTTCAAATTGTGTTGTTATACTGTTTATATGTAATTTGTTCTTAGGTCTCCCTTGTTATTTTCTACACATGAAAACGTACTAATGCTGAAAGCTAAAGTCAGCTGACCATACTGTCACATCATTATTAAAATAGCAGACTTTGGGAAGTGATAATCCATGTTGATCTAAAATGTTCCCGATAAGCAGAAACATGCATTGTGTGTATTTCCACATGTCAAGGACAGAGGTGATGTCACCCCACCCTCCCCTGCCCATCCCCCTCTCTTGCTTCCCTCCTTCTATACAGTATCTCTACAGTATGTCTGGTACCTCAAGGTGAACGGGGCGGGGCCGGAACTTGATCTCCGTGTTGCTGCAGAAACCACATCCTAAGTTTCTAAATTAGGCAACATCATCTATACATAGACAATATGAGACAGTTCTGCAGCTCCTGCCAGATGCACACACTCCAACACACACATACAGAGCTGTCCACAGTGAATGTAAATGTCCTCTATTGCTGAACTCTCACTATGCTAACGAGCCTTTAAAAAGCCATGTCATTTCGCTAATGAATATGCATCAGTGGCCCAGTGAGGGTGACCTGTTGGGATGGGACAGAGGTCACAAGAGGTGGGGCGCAAATAAGCACCCGTGCTCCCATGAGACCTGCAAGGATGGACAAGATCACATTCACAAGTAACACACACACACACACACACACACACACACACACACACACACACACACACACACACACACACACACACACACACACACACACACACACACACACACACACAGAAGTAAGCAATAGAAGAAGACCGAGCTGCAATTCCCCACCTTGTCCTACTCTACCTCGCTCTTGCTCTCCCCCTTGATCCAGCTTTTCATACACCTGCTCTCTTCTTTGTGACATCTATGAACTGGTGATACAAAAACTCTTTCCTCTCTCACTGTTTTCCTCCGCCTGTCCCGCCCTCTCTGGTCCTGTCATCTATTCTCCTCCTCCTCCTCCTCCTCCTCCACCTCTCTCTGGGAAGAAGGAGTACCTGTGTGTCTGGACATTGCTGCTGGGGCGACTGAATACAGGTATGTCTCTGGGTCCTTATCTTTCTCTTAGTTTTATCAAATTAAAGTACTTTGATGTATTTCTCTCCCAACTGTGCTCAGTGAAAAGTAACTGTGTAAAACATAACAAAATTTGAATAATCAGGTTGGTGAGGGTCATTCTCTTATTGACCAGATACAGTATAGGTGCAACATAATAACCTTGGGTGATTTATTAGTTTTTACCTCCAAATTCCGTGATTTTCTTTTGTGTCTATGAAAGATGCAGTTCTTGTGAAGGTTGAGAAAATGTCCAATGTCAAGTTAAAAACAAGGCTCTCTTAAGTTGTCAGTGACGGTGCAATTACACTAGAATGCACACATTAATGTCATGAATTTGCTAACTTTTTGGATGAGGTGTAAAAAGAGTTTGAACTGCTGTTTTAACTAAAGTTAAGGGGACATATGGTGCTGCTGGTCATTCATTATTCATTATCATCCGCATCAAACATATTGAAAGACGCAAATGTACACATTTAGTTACGTTTACATATGTTTTATATACACGATATTCAACAATTAATAATTGAAGTAATTTCATTTCAAATTACCATGTGAAAATATCAAATCTGTGAATTACTCATTATTACTTAGTCAAACTTTTACAAAAGCAAATCAGAAATATTATATATAAGTATTGAAATACATAACGTGATCAGTATAAGAGACCTGTATCATGTGAGACATGGTGTTCTTTCTGTCATCATTAGGTACATCTGTTTGCTCCTGCAGCTGTAATTAATCAGTGGCTTCTGTTTAGCGCCTGTCTTTTCAGAAAAAGCAGAAATAAACTGAGATCAGTGTCCTGCTTTGGTGTGAGATCTCATCTGCTTACTCAACTTCAGAATAGCAAAAAAGGTATCTACATTTTTTTTAACATGGGAGTCTTGTTGTTTTCGTAGATACTGAGCATGACCTTGGCCCATGACTCTGACCCCTGCAGCTCACAGTGGAACAGCAGCGGTCCACGCGTGACGCTTCAACTTCAATTGTCCCCTTCCTCTCCCCTGCATGTCAGCAGCTTTGACCGAGACAGCTACTTGCATATCCTGTGTTAAAGTGTTAGTGCCAGGCCAGCAGAAACAGGAGTCATTTGACACTGATGGTCATACAGTTTCTAAAAGCATATTAATGCTACAGATACATCTAATCAAAAGCATTTAAGGAAACTTGGAGGGCGTATGTGTTTATGTGTTCTGTTTTGATTGTTCCTCAAAATAGATTTTTTTTGTTTTTTGTTTAGTATAGTGTGATGTTCCTTAAATTACTCAAGTTGTTATTTAAGGGCTGAGACAATATTTTCTTGACTCTGTGTTTCTCTGTCAGTTTAATTCTGGATCTGTTACTCGTCCAATAATGACTGGGAACCGTCGAGCTGCCCCCCCTGCACCGGGCACCCCCGCTCCAACAACCCACTTGCCAAATGAAACAACCAACCCCGGCCATTCTGGAGGCCACAGTCCCAACAAGTTCATGAGTGAACTGCACAGCGTCCACAGTGAGTCAGACTCTGAGGTCATGCTCTGTTCCTTTGGAACCAAAGGAATGTCCGGAATAACATAACTAAACTATCATGCTGATATGCTGTTGTGGTGCGTAGCCTGCTAAAATATATCACAGAAATAATTGCGAGAACAAAATATTATTGTCATTTCAAGACGATTTTATGCAACTGCCGTAAAATATAATGTTCCGAAAATATTCAGTCATTGTTATGAAAATGAATTTGAAAAAAACCACACACAACCAAAAGTAATAAAATGGACTATCTGCCACTGTTAACAAACATTTACAATGCAAGAGTCTTACAATGGTCTAAGTAATCTCCATTTATCATACAAGTCACTTAATAAATAAGATAGTATCTGTGTTTGTGTCAGTTTAAATAATTGGATGGCAAATCATCCTAAAACAGTAAAAGCTCATGGAGTGTCTAGCATTTTGTGACTGAATGAGGAAGGCACACACATCATATGATAAGGCCAAACAAGCGTTGACTCAAAGGTAACAGAAAAACAGGTTAGGTTGGCTACTTTTAAAATCTACTCTAGAACTGCGTTTTATGTTCCTCTTGTGTGGAAGTTATTCATTTGTATTAGTTCCGACGTACCAGGATTGTCAATGCGTACTGTTTGTAATGCTATGCGCATGTTTTATGGGGAAGCAAACTGCAAGTCATAAAAAATGTCATCTTGTATTTGAATATGTGACATGATATTATAGTCAAATATTGCTTCCATGATGCTTTAGAACAAGCAGAATACATAAGAGATGGACATGAAAACACCTGACTGAGCATTGCAATGCAATACAACACCACCACAGAATATGATCAAGAAAGATTTTCCTCACTCTGTTTATCTTTGCATTCAAGTGGCTGACTAAAAAAATCAATTATGCATCCTCTATGTGTGTGTTTATTTCATCTTGCAGTGCCATCATGGGCAGTTGCTGCCCTTTGCATCGTAAGCTTGTGCGTGGTGTTGTCATGTGCAGTGTGTGTGTGGAAGAAGTGCTTGAAAAAGAAGGACAAGGACAAAGAAAAGGACAAGAAAAAGGGAAAAGAGAAGAGCAACGGAGGCATTGACACTGAAATGGATGGAGGTTACAGCGAGGTAAACTACACACACACACACACACACACACACACACACACACACACACACACACACACACACACACACACACACACACACACACACAGTGTCCCCCTGCAGATGTACTGTCCTTGCAATGGATCACAGTCCTTATGTCCGGGTCACACAGGACTAGTAAAACTGTCAGTGTGTGTTAGGACTAATGGATGTTTTGCACATAGCTCATATTGTAATAAAGTTTGAGGACTGAGATGAGCTGTTTAAGAGTGTTTCCCTTGTCCTCAAGGATTCAGGTCACATTTACCCACACTGATGCTGTAAACCTGCCTGTATACTTTAAACAATAAATAAGCTTTAGACGGTAACTAGATCTTTGTTTAATCACCTCTGGCTGTGCAGTGCTTACAATATACTGCATGAACCCGACACAAATAGCTGTGAGATAGAAGCACTTAATTGATTACTTCTTGTAAAGCTATGTTTTATTATTTCTGCATGTGATCTGTGTGTGTCTGTGGTTGCAGCCGCTGAAAGACGAAGGTAACAAAGAAACCGAGCTGTCAGATAATGATCCCAAGGAGGAGGAGAAGCTGGGCAGGCTCCATTACACATTAGACTACAACTTCACAGACAACACAGTGAGATGCCACTATTCACTATGACGTTTTTCCCCAACATCTGCAAACTCTAAAATGTTCACCAAATTAATAACTTGTTGTCAGTTATCGAGAATCTCATCTCTTGTTATTACTTTCCTTTGCTATCACATTCTAGCTGATAGTCGGCATCTTGCAGGCTGCTGATCTTCCTGCCATGGATGTGGGAGGTAGTTCTGACCCTTATGTTAAAGTCTTTCTGCTCCCAGACAAAAAGAAAAAGTTTGAAACCAAAGTGCACAGGAAGACCCTTGAACCGAACTTCAATGAGACGTTTACATTTAAGGTAAACTCAAAGATAAATACTTTTTTTTTTTTTTTTAAATGATCCCAAATGGGTCCATGCTCAGCAAATGGTGCAAAATGTGTTTCTAATTATTATCTGTGAATGTGTTCTGTAGGTACCGTACACGGAGCTGGGCGGGAAAACACTGATGATGACTGTGTACGATTTCGACCGTTTCTCAAAACACGACGCCATTGGAGCTGTGAAGATACTGATGAGCAGTGTGGACTTCAGCCAGTCTCTGCAGGAGTGGAGGGATCTGCAGAAGGCAGAGAAGGAGGAGGTGTGAGCACACGGAGAGAGGGGTGGAGGATATAACCTTGAAATAGGGATGCACTAGTCAAAAAGAACAACTTGCTATTGATCTCTTGATCCGAAATTATTACTGTTTTTTGGCGAAAAAACTTTTCTAAACTGAGTACTACAATGTATTTATCAAAGTAATATCAAATACTCTCTCCTTTTTATATTTACACTGTCATGCACATAAAGGTCACTTATGTGTCATTGTAATTGCAAAGCCATATTTTATCTTTAATAAAATGCTAACTTATTTTTCTCTGTTTTAGAGTGAGCGACTTGGAGACATATGTTTGTCCTTGAGGTATGTGCCTACAGCAGGGAAGCTGACGGTGGTGATTTTGGAGGCCAAAAACCTGAAGAAAATGGACGTGGGTGGATTATCAGGTTAGTCAAGCGACAGACAACTTCACTAACAAGACTTTTAAAAAAGGAAAAACTGTTAAAACCATTCTGTTTTCTCTGTTAGACCCGTACGCAAAGATCCACTTAATGCAGAATGGAAAAAGACTCAAGAAAAAGAAAACAACAACAAAGAAGCACACCTTAAACCCTTACTTTAATGAGTCTTTTAGCTTTGAAGTGACATGTGAACAGATGGAGGTAAATACTGTGTATATTTGTATGCAAACACACACAAAAAACAACATTTAAAAAAACAATTAATCTGAAATGTACTCGTTTTCTTTGTGTGTATTTTCATGTGTTTTTTAAAGAAGGTGCAGATAGCAGTGACTGTGTTGGACTATGATAAGATCGGGAAGAATGACGCCATCGGCAAAGTGCTGCTGGGCAGTAACAGCACTGGGACTGAGCAGCGCCACTGGGAAGACATGGTGGCAAATCCTCGGAGGCCAATAGCACAATGGCATAGTCTCAAACCAGAGGATGAAGTCAACGCTCTCATTTCAAACAAGAAATGAAACTGTCACCTAGTATGTTTTGACCTTGCAGCATTTAACTACATTAATTCAAATGTATGTTCCTCCCCTTATTGCAATAAAAACTCTTTGGGATTCATTTAACTATGTAAATCTACCCAATCATATCCTGTTTTACCCATGACACTATCTAAGTCACTGTTATTACATGTAATCTGTAATCTTTCTTCTGCAAATACCTCCTCCTAACTACAAACAGTATTAAGGACAAATGTATAACTATGTAAAGTGCTATTAAACCATGAATTTTTTTAACCTGTGTTTTTGTTCTGTACTTTGCTGTTTAAATGCATGTACCCTACGCCTGATATAAACATGAATAGCCTGTAGAGGGAGACAATCCAATGGCTAATGAAATAAGATACTCATATGAGTGTTATTATTTCTCTACTTTATGTTTATATTATTATTCACTGTTGCATTTAGCTAAATGCTTGGATGGATATATGTGCTCTAAATGTCCATTTGAAACACAACACAATAGAAGTGATTCTTATAAAGCTAAGAAAATACATTGGAGAGCGAAGAGTCTTGGACAACAGCCCTAAATAAGAGAAATGCAAACCTAAGAGTTGGGGCCTCATCATTAATAGACATTGTCTCTGCAGTATAGCAACCAGGAAGGATGAACAGGCTAGAGCCACACCAATAATATGATTAAATGTTCATCTTTGAACATTTAATCACTTATCCGTGGGAGACCTGACCACGGATAAGCGGGAGAAGATGGATGGATGGATGGTTCATCTTTGTTCCGAATAATCTATATTATTTCAAAACTAATACTTTTATTTACAAGAAATAAAAAATGTCATGGGAAATAGGCAGTAAACATTCATTCCTTTCAATGTATTGGAAAATGGTGGTGAAATTACTATGAGCACAGAACTGAGCTTCAGGTTGCCAGGCATGTAGGCTAATAGCGGTTTTTTTCTCCATATATTTTTAGAAATAATTCATATTTGAATAAAAACATTAAATATTGTATAGTTAATTATCTTCAGCCAGAAAATAATCCCCCTTACTCTTTGTTTGATCAAAACATAAAAATAGGGGGGGGTGCACGTTATTTGGTGTGTGTCAACCATAGAGGTGTCAACTCAACATCAAGACAGTTGTCGGGAAGAGGTTAAGGAAACAAGTCAAGTAACGCTGATTGGTAACGTGTTACTTAATAGCTAAGCGTAAAGCATTTTTTAATGAACCTAGCTTAATTGAAAAGCTGCATGTCAAAAATAAATGAGCGTCAATTTATAACAAGCAAAATGTACAGCTAACTTAGCTGGGGGTAACCTAACTTTACCCTTATTTACAACAGATATTTATCCTACTTAGTTCAGAGACAGAGACAGTTTACACCCAGCTAACTAGCTTAACTAAAGCTATCTAGTGTTAACCTTTTCATAAATGTGCTATCTCGCTAACTGTGAAGGGGTGTGGTGAAGGTGAGTTTTTTTTACAAGTGCAATTAGCGAGTTAAATGAAACTTTCTGCCCTCTATTTAGCTCATTGGCAACGCCGTTTTGATCCGCTAATGTCCACGTCAGAAGTTCTCATACGCAGGTCATGACATGTGGTCAGACAGAAATGTAACTTTAGAGGGGAACACCTCTGTGATGGAGCGACACACTATCACAATTACCACTGAATCTGAGGCTAGTCTGTGTGTGCTGGCTGAGAATGTTGGAGTGACAGAGAGCAGCTTACCTGCCCACACAGGTGGAGGCTGGTCGTCACCTGCTCAGAGGGGCTGTCGCCACCAGGTAGGTTTCACCGAGTTATAGGAAAGACCAGGCATCGTCCCGGAGCTAACACACATCCTGAAATCTTCCCTTCCGGGACCATTGAGATGCACCGTTAACGTTTCGGCGGGACTTCCTTTCGGACTCTGAGATGAACTTAAAGTGGACAGTGAAACGATTTCTTCTTATGTCGTTTTCAATCTCCCACTTGCTGTTACTTGAGGGTGAGTATGATAGTTTCTCTCCTCCAAAATTGTATAATTGTCCTGCTAAAAAGTTTGCTCAACACAGATGTGAGTGTGAACTATATATTACACAACATAGTGGTATATTATTGGATCTAATAGTCAATATTCTTTGAGTCACAATACTCTTGCATTACAAGCTCTTTTGAAATATTATTTAAGTTTCTGATTTTCTTTATCATCTGTCACAGGTCATTTACCTATATAATAAAGCCTAGCCTGCATTGTTTTAAAATGCCCCTCCCTATTATATTGTGTCCTCACTGTTTAATCTTAATAAATGTCATATATGCGACTTAATGTTTCTTATTTAATACATCTGGACCTCCCTTTCCCCAAATTACAAAGAGTTTTTACTTTTAAAATGTATGATGTTTTCTTTTGTGTTTAGGAGCTCAGAGCCGACTTTCAGTGGCTGAAGGAAGACTACAAAGGTACATCAAAGGAATTAATTTGTGATTCTGCAAACAGTATGGTAAACATATAATTAATATTGAGCAAAAAGATCATCCAATTGTACAGGCTGACACTGATAAATTATTTGCAATTTCTGTTTCTGTCACTAGAGTGTGTGGCAGAGACTGTGTTAGAGTGTGTTTGTGCATGTGCACTTGTGCCTGTGAGGGTTCAGTTAAGAGTAGTTTGGATTCTGAATTGAAGTGGTGTAAAGTGCACTTAAGTCTCCCCTCTGACTGTTTCTTCCCACTAATGTGCATGTTTGTGTGTGTGCAGAAGAGCTAATGCACTTCGGAGGAAACGGGATCTCCTTGGGGAGGAGGTTGGTACACTACACCTAAGAGAACCAGAGGAGGTCAGGGCACCCACATGCGCACAACACCTTAAACGGCACAAAGCTGTCTTTGTAACGAATGAGACTTGCTCACAAACCCATACACTTTCTCCCACTCAGCCTGAGGCAACTCTAAGCTTACAACAGGTCACCAACAGTACAGAAATGTGTCATTGATGTGGTTAAAGCTTGAGAACTACTTTAAGTGTTAATTGTTTCCCAAGACCTACAGACCTCTGCTGTCGGAGGGTGGTCTACCACGCAGCATTTTACACAACTACACAGCCAGAGATTCCTCTTCAGGTAATTACACAACTTATGAAGCTTCCATTATTGCATTAACAGAAGATTAAAACTATCATTACCCAGATAAACTGGGCTAAGTGATCATGAGGTGTGTGTTTGTTTTTTCCCCCCAGAATATTGTGGCTGCCTCAATGGTGGCTGGTGTCAGGAGAGCGGTGTGTGTGACTGTGCTCAGTTCCAGGCATTGGGAGACCGCTGCCAGATCAGTGAGTAATACACACAAACACAATTTACCACACACATTCACACGTACCGTGTATGTCTTCCTTTGTTATCAAATCTTCAAATAAGATTTATCAGAATATCATCCACATGGCAACCATATTCTTGATTGATAAGCACCCTTCCTGTATGCAACAGAGTGTGTGATCAGCAGGTGTACAACTTTTTAATAACGGCATACAGTATACAGTTACACACTCAGTTATACAGGAATGTGTGTCATTCAACAAACAATAATTACATGCACACACTCCAGTATTAATTATCAGATTTCCCCATCCGTCTCTCTTTCTATTTCCCTCCCTATCTCTCTTTGAATCATGTGTACTAAGGTAATAGGGTCAGGGTTGAGTGATGGAGTTTCTAGTTTCTATATTCTGAACAGACTCCTTATACAGTTATCAGGAGATCTGAAGTCAGAATTATTGTAAAGACATTTTTTCATTTCAACAAACTAATTTGATGTTGGCCCACCTGTTGGAAACAATATAGCGACCTTAGGAACTTGTAACTGAACTTATACTTGAAATGAAATCCTGGAATAGACATTAGCATTTAAAGGAAAGCCTCATCTTAGACTCATAATCAAGCTTCAAAGCTTCAGTGCACATTTTGAAGATTAAGATTACCGAGCTGATGCCACAGTTCTAAAAATATAAAATAAGATTTTTTGGTGATTAAAATGTGTAAAGAGTCATTTAAAAAATAGGGAACAGGCAATTTCCGATTTCTTACCAGCATGTAAAGCTTTGCGCTGATCAGATTAAAGGACATGACTCACTATCAAACACCCCCGCTCCCTCAGATTTTGGGGAGGGTCTTAAGCGCCATCTTGGCATCACCAGTTACGGGGATTTCCTGTAACAAGAGGCTTTTTTTGAGAAAGGCACTCATTTTCCACTGATAAGTTTAATGAAATGAAAGATGGTGAAAGATATAAAGATGATAAAAGAGATAGAATGTATGACTTTGAGCAAGTGTCAATTTCCACTGAAATCCATTTGTGTCACCACATGAAACTGATCCCCTTCATCATCACGAGAATGTTGTCTGAGTGAATTGCCCATTTTCCTCTCAGTACCGAACCAGGGCCGGGATAGAGACGGGATCTGCAGGTCGTGGGGTCAGCACCACTACGAGACATTTGATGGAATCTACTTCTTCTACCCGGGAACCTGCTCTTATATTCTAGCCCAGGACTGCCACTCAGCTGCACCACAGTACACGGTGTGGGTAAGAGCATAAAGAGAGAAATTACCCACTGCTGTATTTAACCACTATTAAACCTGTGCGTATTCAAGGTAGTCTGGCTTTATCTTAGAATAACAGCTTTTCAAATTTGGGACTGAAGTCTTTCTGAGTTCTCTCCGTTATCTCATATTGCACTTAAAACTCTTTGATTTTTCGAAACATTCTTTAAAGGGGACCTATCATGCAAAATGCACTTTTTGATGTCTTTTATACATAAATATGTGTCGAGGAACTTATTCAGTGTCAGAAAATAAAACCCTCTCTCTTTTCCTCCGTACCCAAATCTCTAAAAACGGGGCTACAACGGAGCTGATCCAGATTTGCGTCTGATATGACGTAATATCGGAAATGTAGGCTGGCTTTACACCCACGGCTCTATCAGAAACGTTGCTATCAGAAACAATGCCCGACTGTTTT